GAGAAGCGGCGCAGGTGAGGGATGTGCTGGCCGCGGCTTCCCGCCGCCCCCATTGGCCCGGGACGGCGAACCGCGGCCAGTGGGGGCCGCGATCGGCCGAACCTGCCACGTCAGCAGGTAAATAAACTGGCCTGGCCCGCTAGGGTGCTTACCCTGGCGAGCCGCGTGCCAAACGTTGCCGACCCCTGGCCTAGAAAGTGAAGGCAAGCATCTGAACAACCATTGGTCTTCACAGTGAGTATAACAGAGACCTTCTGATATTTAACCAAACATGGGAGAGAAGGTACGGAAAACAGAAAAGGAAACATTTCAGTCATTAGGCATTTTTATGATAATTTATTTTGATCCTTTAAAACAGATAATAAAATAAAGGGGTAGCAAGAAAAAAATTTTCTGGCTGGGATAGATTTGGACAGTGTGGTTGGACAGAGGCCTATGGAACTAGGGAGCAAGGCTGCCCGCTGGGGCCAGGGAACTGGTCTCTTCAGCAGTGCTAGGAACCAGCAGGCAGAAGGGACGGGGGTGAGAGTCAACAAAGAGCTCTTCCACTCAACTTAGCTCCTCAGCTCCTTCAACAACCTCTGAGCCCCTTGCCATATCCACCCCCATCCATACCCCTCACCATCCATGCTCCCTGCTTACAACTACATCCCCCCCTTTATGTATAATGCCCCCATAATCTATCCCCACCCTTTTGTGACTGTAAAGCATACAGAGGCCCAGTTTGACCAAGGGTCTATCAGACCTTCGTCAACAGTGAATCATGGGCACAAGTTCACCAGAGGAAATAATCTGCCAGAAGAAAGGACTGGAGCTGGTAGCATTGTTCAGCTGCAAAGCTCCCACTCACCTTGTCCCCTCCCACCATGTCCCAGCCCTTACAGGCAGGGGATCATGGAGATGGGGATGCTTGCAGCTTGGGATGTCTCAAGGAGGAGTGACAAGTTTCACTCTGGAGATAGCTCCTTCTGGAGAACTTCATTTGGGAGGGGAGTTCTCATTCTGGTGGACCTGAGAAGGCCTGTTAAACTGGAGAATCTGCGGGGATGGATTAAGACATTCCAGTGTGTCCTTCTATGTCTCCCACTTTTCTTCTACTCACCTTCCCCCCCCACCACACACACAAACACACATAATTTCCTTGGCCGCCCTCATAGTTCAGTGAAGTTTGAAAGTCGATGTGGAAATGCTTCAAGTGGATGCAAGGGGGTCTCAACAACACAACCATCTGTTGGAGAGTTTGAATCATGACATAGCGTAACCAATTTGATCTAACTATTGGTTTCATCCTTAACGTATTTTGAACTTGTCACAAGCACCTAAGAGATGGTGAGAATATTATATGTTGAAGATCGAAATCTACATTCTTATCAGATTCATTTTTTTTCTGTCCTCTGGCAGGTCCCAGGTCATTTAATAATCCAACTTGAAAACTGCTGGTCTACACCAACGAAGGATCCTTCACATGCTGTTCAATATTCCTTTATAGAAGATAGGTTTGTATCCCAGCATACATAGTAGATACATCATTCTAAAAATACATTAGCTGGACCCAGTGTATAATGTGATTATGCAGACCTGTAAATTGTTACATAATTTTAAATTCCCATGCAATTATATTCCAGAATCTAAGATTTCATTTAAAAACAAAAACAAAACACAATCTTACCAGTCTGGGTGGGCCCCAAAATGTCACACTATACCATACAGTTGGGAAGGAAAAACGTTTCAAGTGTGAGGTAATGTAAACCAATAATGTGAGATCTGCCTTGAGTCTGCACACAGCTTGTAACGTAAGTAGCATAAACTTCTGTAATTCATCTCTGTGGGGTGGTGACAGTGAAGATTCAGAACAGTTTAAATACCTTAGCTTTTTGACTGGTGATAATTTTAGCAGAAATAGCAAGATAATGTGCTTATTTTCCATTGTTGGGTGGAATGGCAGATACTGGGATAAGGTGCAGTGGGGTAACTATTTGCTGTCATGGGTTGTTGGGATGGGGAATAACGAATTCAAACCCTCCTCTCCTCACACATTAAAGTATTTTTGCCTCTTCTCAGATGGGGAAGGAACAGAGGAGATATATCCTTTCCCCATTTCCAAAAGTTTCAACTGCCTCCTAGGTACAAAACCACGCCTTCTTGAAATGGTGAAAGCCCCAACTATCTCCTAACACAACCTGACAGCTATATATATAATGCACTTACTTATTTTCAATACAAAAATCTACAGCACACTGAAAATTAAATACGTGGAGGAAGTGTAAAATAAAATGACTCTCTCTCTATCTGAAACACTATCAAGGAACACTGTGGTGGTTGGAGAGGCCTTGGAGGGGAACGAGGTTGGAAGATAGTACAACACAACTCTGGGCTCCTTCACACACAATTTAGGTCTGTCTGCTGCATAGGATACAGGATTTTCTATATTTTTACAAATAATTCTTGATCTGCAGATTGGCTTGCAAGCCATTCATGCAATTATTTGATATTTGAAATTAAAATTGTGTTGTTTAGTTTTGACAAGACATGTAGATCACATGTTATTAGTTCTGTTCCTAGACTGGATGAGAGCAACTCTTAGTAACAAGGTTCTGGTGTGAATACTCAAATTTCAAAGTTCATAGTTTGCATTTCAGGAATCTCAGTGTTGCCAACTTTTGCAGTTTTATTGTTAGTCTTGCTCTATTTGGTATTTTTCTTAAAACTGCAGTTCCTGAAGTGAAGGGACAAAGTTAAAATCTCAGCTATCATTAAAAAAAGAGAAAGTTTCTAGCCCTCATGGTTGCAGAAAAAGGCTTTAAAACATGACTCAAATGTACCCTAATGTCTCAGAAACCAGAAGGCAAATAAAAAGAATCCCACGTTAGTGCTAGTTGAATATTGCCTATCAAAACTGTTTTTCAATGGAAAACTGGGTTTTCAACTAAACAAAATATTTAATAAAAGTTTTGGCTATCCTTGGGTAATTTCAATGTTGCATTGAAAAACTTTAATACCTGGAAAAAAAAATATTTTGGCCAAAACCCAAAATATTTCAATTCAAAATGGCACTACTGTGCATCATTAAGGTTGTAGTTTAGGTGCCTTATTCTCCTACCCTCTGAGATTGATACATTCACATTGTGAAGGTGTTTATATTGAAGCCAACTACCTGCAACAATTTTTATTAGGCTTGAGGCATTTTTTCAATTAAAACTTTTTAAATGCAATTAAATGTTTCAATTCATTTTGAATTTTTAAAAAATCATTTAGATTTTTTCTTTTTCTCTTACTTTTATGTGTTTCCCTCTTTTATGCACTTGAAAAGGGGGAGGAGAGTAAAAAGTGGAAGAATGGGTTTTTTACCCACATTTTCTTACTTTTTCCCCACTGGAAAAGTGGGGGGAAAGTAGGGAAAAATAGTTTTAGAGATGAGAGAAGGGGAGCGTAGAAAACCCAGAGATCTGAAGCTTTTTCTACATTTTTTTAAAATTTTTGTAACAAAAAAATTTTCAAAAATGTGTATCAAAACAATTTTTTCTGTAATTTTTTTTATTTTGGTTGCAAAGACATTTTTAGTCATCAAATATTGCTACCATTTTTCTGACCAGCTCTAACCTTGAGTAATGTGAGGGATTCACAAACAAGACCAGCCATCAGACTGACAATGCTGTTTGGCTAAATCTCCTCTAGCGTCTGATATAACACAGATGAATGCCAAAGATTTTTGACCCTTGAGATCTAATTATTTTATATCTTTTATCCTACATAGCTGCCCCCAAGTTGTCAAAGATGAAACACTGTCAGTAATAATGAATGGTGGAGGTGCAGAAGCAATGTTTAGGATCCAGATGTTCAAGTTTGTTGGCATCTCTTACAATGACATTTTCCTACACTGCACAGTTCAGATTTGTCACAGTACAGCAGCTGTTTGCAAGCCAGTAAGTTTTTTATATATCCATGTGTATATGAGGATTGGGGTGGGGTTATTATTATTAGTGGGCCAAACTGGAGAAACTATGTGGTCTAGTAGACTGAGTACAGGTCTGGAAATCAGGAGCTCCTAAATTCTAATCTCTATCACTTACTTGATGTGTGGCCTTGAGCAAGACACCTAGCCCTCAGCCTCCGTTTCCCCACCTGCAAACTTAGAATAGTAATCCTTAGTGTAAGTTGGTAGAATGATTAAACAGCAAACCAAGGAGCAGTCAACGTGGTTTTTATTTAAGGATAATGTTTATAACCAGAAATCAAATCAAGTTAACCAAGTAAAAAAGAGTAACAGAAAACTCCCTCCACCAGAGTTTCAGCCAAGTTCTCCAACTCTGGTTGTGGACTCCTTTCCCAATGGCATCCCTCCCCCGCCCTCCAATCTCCCAAGTAGCCCATTTTTAAGTCCTCCCCCCAACCCCCCGTGCCAAGGGAGGGGGAGCTGAGCTTACCTCCTTGCTCCCTAAGGACAACGTCGTGTCCCTGCACACCATCACACTTGCCCAACTCTCAGCATTGTCATGAGAAATTAATGTTTGTATAGCAATTTGCAAATGTGAAGTGCTATATTAATTACTGTTGTCATGTGGTCCTTGTTCAGACCTTCCAGAGGCAAAATTCCCATTGACACCAAAGAGTGTTTTGCCTGAGCAAGGTCACATAGTTTGGACTGATTTATAATATTATTTTTAGAGCACCATCAATGTAACCAATATTGTACAAACACATATGGAAGATGAGGGCCCTGCTGCTGGAAGCTTGCAGCTTAATTCAGACATGTCAGTATGGTAGCAAAACACATAGCAGAGTTTGCATCCTTTCATCAGATACTATAATGTGGTAGGAAAAAGCATGAAATATTAGTTGATCCTAGAGGAGCTATAACTAAGTGACATTTACCAGCATTCAGCTGACAATTTATGGGCTGGTGACACAGAAGATAAGTTTTCTAAGGGGAGCAATATAATATTCCACCTCAGAACCGCACTGTTCCTTAAAACTGTCCATGCAGTTGAATTTTATATTATTAACAAGGAGATTGATTATATCTTTGTTCGCAACACAGAACAGGAGCGAAACCTTTTTCACATCAGAAAGGAAGATACAGTACAGTTTGCTCGGTACTTGTCCGACATTATGGCACAGAATGCAATATCAGCGTGAATGATTTTTGATGGTAGATGTTTAGACATTAACAGCAGCTGCATAATGATAACAAGGCTTTGTACAGTGGTTTGTTTCCTCAAGAATTACATCTGAAAAGCTACCAGGAAGACATATTAAGCAAGAAAAGAAATCAAGGAAGAAGTCAGTATGACATTTTGGAAATTGACTCAAATAAAACCAGATGCTTTGTCTGAAAGTCACACAAGACAGTAGCTCAGCATAAGTAAAATCTGCCATAGACAATTTAGGGTATCTGTCTGTTTCTTGATACATGTGTCATTTGTTGCTATGCCCCTAGTTATGTAGACTGATTTTTATAAGATGCCCAGAAAACAATGTACACTTCCCTTTAAAAAAAACAAAAACCACCTCTTTCGACCTGTAATCTCTTTTCACGTATACTGGTGTAAATTGGAGTAAATCTATTGCAGTCAATAGCCTTACCACAAGTAAAGCTGATGTAAGTGAGAAGAGAATCAGGCCTTAAATATCTGGGACCAAATTCAGACCCAGTAAAACAAAGTGCAATTCCATAGGGAAATAGCATAGTTCAACCTCCATTGCGGTTGAATCCCTTTACACCAAGCCTGAATTTGGCCTCTGGTGTTGGGTAGATTTTTGCAGTCCTTTACTGCTAACCAGTTTTTTTCAGGTTTTGGAACAGGATGAAATTGTGCGTGCTGGTAGGCCAATATATGGATTGGGACCTTTTAAAGCCTGACCGAGATGAAAATGCCTATGTGGGCTGGGACTAGGGTGACCAGACAGCAACTGTGAAAAATCAGGACAGGGGGGTAATAGGAGCCTATATAAGACAAAGCTCCAAATATCAGGACTGTCCCTATAAAATTGGGACATCTGGTCACCCAAGCTGGGACCCCAAAAGTTGGGAGGATGTGGATCCCAGTTCCTCAGTAGAAAGGTCAGCCTGCAATAGAAGCCTTTAAGTAAAGGCTTTGTGGCTGCACATTGCAGATCTACCCAGGAGGCAGCGGACTTCTGTAAATGAACCAGCCCTCTTTCTATAAGTCTGCATAACTCCCACGACTCAGGACATTCACAAAACTCCCACAGCACCACGTGGATAACTACAGCCCTAGTAACTTCCCTGCACAGCTGTGAGTGGAGGGATTGATGGGCTCAGAGCCCAACCAATGAACAGAGTTTTATTTTTGTCTCTGCAGCTGACCTGGATGTCCAGTCCCCAGTGTGTTGCGAGGGAGTGAAAGGGTAGAATTTCTGTCTCCTGATCTTTGTTTTGTTATGGATGCAGAGGGTTTCTTGAATCCTGATCCTTGTTTTTAAAATTCTAGTCTCCCAAACTGTACAGCTATTCAGATATATAAACCTTTTAAGCCCTCCACCCATCCCCACCCTCCAGATTACTGAGCGCTGGGGAAGAACCCTGTCTCCCACAAGAATGTGAGAGATTCCCTGTCATTGCTAAGTGGAATTCCCCAACATCATCCCCAAGAACTAGAATGCCAATATAGTACTTGGGCTGAGAGAAGCCTCTAATTTTGACCTTGGAAAGGGGAAAGTACAGGATGACTGATTTGACCTGTGACTACAGGAAAGGGGACATTTCTTCCTCAGACTAGAGATTATCTTCCATGATTGCAGAGACTAAAGGACCAGTACAGCAGCCATGAAGGATCATTTTGGCTGGATCAAACTCATTGTTTATTTTGGGGTATAAAATGAGAACGGCCAAATGGATTAATATCTTAAAATTGACCCTTCTGGATGTGCAGGACCTTCCAAAACAATATTTTTAAATATGTGCATCATTGTGCTATTGCTACCCCGGCCACGTCTCCTTCCCAGCAGTATTACTCACTTCTGGAGTTTGTCAGTGTTTTGTACTGAGAGCCCTGTGTCTTTTATAAAGCTGGCAGAAGTGCCCCTGATTTATCCACTTCTTACTGCAGTGCCAACAGGGTGCTACCCATTCTTACTATAACAGCAACTATCCTTTGCATCTGCAATGCACCAAAAGTTAAACCACAGCTGTGCTTTCTTGGTGTGTATATAAAATTGCCCTCCATGGGATTAGGCTCTGCTAAAGAATAGCATTTCTTTGCACTGGATGAGCTAATATGAACCTTTTCCTTTAGCCATTCCCATTAATATTTGAGAGAAAGAAATAAGAACACAAGTCTGCAAAGTGAATAGAAGCCTAAGTGGGTTCAGGGGCTTGTCGCAACCCCCCAAACTTTTAGCTATTACCCCAATACGTAGTGTTCTGCAGTCTAGAAACTACATTTCAATTTACTTCTGTATCCAGTACTTTGTTAGAGGACCTGGTACCAGACCTGAAATATAAGTACAGCTAGAAATTATGCATTAAGGTATCAGGCAAGAACCCTGTAGTTTGTGATCAAATGTCCTGGTTTGAATCCTATTACTTCCTCTCTCTATTGTTGTTACTGAATATATCTATTTGTAATGATTTGTTCATATAAATACACACACACATATACATATACACATATGAGCAGATCATTGCAAATTCATTCTTAGATGATAGCTTGTCTTGAACACATAGATTTAAGAGAGCCTTTTGTTTTTCTAAATGATTTTGGTGCTTGTAAAAGTTTGGCAGCAGAGGAAAATGCACCCCAATTTATCCACAGAATAAGTACAGAATGATCAGCAACTGGCAAACTTTCCCATGCTTTCCTAACACTAAATTGTGGGGGATGAGAGGGCAGTTCCATCTCCAAGTCTAATCAATCCTTTGTCTTTTTGCTGAGAAAGGCATAAAAGGTGCCAGTTAGTACCATTATGCAGGTGAGGGATTTTTTTCTTGTAATATGGACTCTTGTCCACTAAAATGGAACCTACCAAATTCATTTCTAACAGGTCACTGAACAGCCACCAGATGGTAACAATTCAGCTTTGCTCACAGGTAACCCCACTTTGCTTAATGACACTACTGTTCAGCAAAGAGAAGCACATATATGTGTCTGCAAGATCAGGTCACTACTGACCTGACCCGAATTTGAGCCAGTGACCTACATGATAACAGTTTGTGTTCCACTATGACTTTTCTGAATAGCAGATACTCCAGCTTTGGACTTCAGGACAACCTCTGTCTTAAGTACATGATATGTGTGTGTATGGTTATCACTGCCCTCTCTTGGAGCAAGATGACTCTGCTCATCTCAAACATTGCTCTATTCACAGCATTGCTCTATTCTGTTGCTCCTTCATCTAATCAGAGGCCTTGGTTTATCAGGCAAACAGTTTTAAGTGTGAATTTCTTTACCTCCCTTTGAGGAGCATGTATGCATATAGACTCGGATACTTACTGTTTGCAATTTCTTTTTTATCAGAATTGTACTAATTATGGAAGAATAACCAGGAATAAAAGAGAAACCACACCATTTCCTACTCACACAGTCTCTTTTGGTCCCATCAAGCGAAAGCTGGCAGATGATGGAGAAGCTAAGATAAGTAAGTGATTCATAAAGCCGTGTTTCAAAAAATAATGTTTTATGTAGCCTGGTGTGATCCATTTTGGTATATTTTAAATTTTAAAAATGTCATAAATATTCCATTAACAGGATAAATTTTTTTAAACACACAAAATCCAGGACATTCAAACTCATGTATATCACAGACAACTTACCTTCCTTGCCCAATGCATATTAATTTTTATTATGTGCCAGTCCCTGGATGAGTCTGGAAACCTTAAACTCCCAGAGAAGTCAATGGCCCTGTGTCATCACCCATATATGATTATGCCTTATTATGCGGGAGCTGCGATGGAAACCATAAATATGAGTTTTCTTATTTATGTGATTAAGTAAATCTATGTTTTATGTCAATCTATACTTTACCTTACTTCCGTGATTTCAGAGGATCTCCGTGACTTATTTGGCTTTAGCCTGCTACAGTGGCGAGGCTGGAGCAACTCTCAGCCCCCACTCAGAAGCAATGGTGGGGGCTGGAGTAGTGGCTGGGGCCACTGAAGCAGCAGCCACCACCGTCAGACCAGGAGCTTGGGGTTGGAGTAGAAACAACAGGGCCAGGTTAACCACCAGTGGCGGTCAGCCCCCACCACAGGAGCAGGATTGCAGTCAGCCCACTGTAGGGATCTGACTGTTCTGTAGCTTGAGGGCATGTCTACACAGCAGAATTCTGAGTCTACAGAATTTGCAGCAGCAAGTCTCAGAGCCCCGGTCTACAGACTTTGGTTTGTGGGGTTTGCACTATGGTGTTAAAGATAGCCATGTAGATATTCCAGCTCGGACTGGAGCTCAGGCTCTGAAACTCACCTTCCTTCCCGTGTCAGAGCCCGAGTCAGAATGGCTATTTTTCGTGCTGTAGCATGAGCCCAAGTCTACACCTGGGCTCTGACAGTGCCATGATTTTGTCTGTTTGTTTTTTTCTGTGTAGACATACCCTTAGAAGCTAATCTTTGTCCTGAGCTGGAGAAGTCCCCTGGAAACAGTGATGTCCAATTTGGTCATCCATCCAGCTCCTCAGAGTGGTGGAGTTGGAGGGCCTGATTCTTCTGTCACTGACACTGTTGTAAATCAGGAGTAACTCCATCAAAGTCACTACAGTTACCATAGTTACACCATTGTAGAAGTTGTGTAACTGAAAGGAGAATCCAGCCCTAACACTCTGCCCAGCGCAGTTGCCACACATGGGATTATATCAGAGGATTCTACCATTTTAATCGTCTCCCCAACCCCTCAGCAAAGAGATCAATTCTTTCCCAATCGACAGAGAAAAATTCAGAAAGGGTCTAGTGGTCTGAAGAGTTCAAGTAGCTGACAGGTCTGAAACAGTAGTACAAATGACCTGCTGGGATCAAGATAATCACCTCCCCACTATAGCAATCAGTAAATGGAGGAGGAGGAGGAGGACATCCACATCTTGCAGGGCAGACTTTTTCTTGTTTTATTTAAAAACAAGACCAGAAACCTGTTCCTTTCCTCACCTTCACTAAACACACCCTATGCCTCCCTTGCTGCTTCCATATGCCACCTGCAAGTAGACGGGACAGTGAAGGTTGACGATATGCAGTGTAGAAGATAGGGAGATCATTTACATGAATTCACGCTTCACCCCCAACAAGCTGCTTGAACCTGAGTTTCAGGTGTGATTTCCTTCTTTCTGACAATGCACATCAAACTAATGGTCCCCAAAATAAGTGAATCTGGTGTCCCTCACTTTTGCTGCCTTCTGGAGCTTATGCATTCAATAGAGCTATGTAAACTTTGTTCAGAATTGGATCCTAATGAATTCTTATACCGTTAAGACTGTAAAAACACCTTCTGTCCCAAGTAACAATATCGTCAGATGGATTTGATGACAGGTAATTCCTTTGTAAATCCTGTTTTTTTTCCCCCCAGATAAAGGAAAACTTCCACCAGTTGAAACCTTGATCCTTGGAGGATTGCTAATGGCATTTTTAGTTATAACTGGAGTCTTTGGAACACTTTTGCTTCAGTCAAGAAGAGCATATCCTCCTATGCAAGCTCAGCTGACTATGTCACATTTTCAGAACTCAGAAGTAGCATCATGATTAGCTGATTCCCGCATCTTACAATATTTGATCCGAGTCACAGCAAGGGTCATGAGGCCTAATAGGGTGCCGATCTCAGATTAACATTTATTTTATACATGTTTATGATTTTTATTTTTGATTCAATTGAAGGCCACAGATTAATGAGATTACACTTTTCTGTTCAGCATAATAAACAGTACTGTTTATTATGGATTGGTAAAATAATGCATGCTGAGAACTTATGCTTTTTGGAGTATTTTAATTTACCACAGACTTGTCATTTTCCCCAACCTAAAAAACCCTCCTACTCCACCAAAAAAGGCCACTCCAATTGTTTTGGCATAATCACCAATGGGCTAGTGCCTCAAAGATAAACAGACTCTTTCTGACTGAAGTTGATTCTGAGTCACTGGTAGAAGTCATGGAACGGACACTTAAACTACTACTGTTTCAGTGACTATGATGGTATTAAAAGTATAATTTGCAGGATCATCAAAGTCATCAATGTTCTACTCTTCCAATTCAATAGACAAGTTTCATTCATTGGCACATTTTATTTTGAAGTACATGAAGAAACTAAATTTCTGCATTCTTTGAGATGAGCATTAATCCTTTGTATCTTGCTACTTGACAGACTCAAGAGATATGGTTACATCATGATCAAAATTAGTAGTCTAGACCTAATCCCATCCCTGTAACAATGTTAAAACACTGGATAGGCCATGATTTGCTATAGAAACCCAGTTGGCAGTTTGCTGTCTACATTAAAAGTTTTAACTATTATAACTGGGTATGGGAATAATTGTGTTGAAAGCAGGGACCTTGACTCAGTCATAATGGTAATGTAGAAGAGGGTTAAAATACCATTTCTTCCTATAAGCAAACAGGTCTTTCATGATTAAAGGCAGAATGCATTGAGGCAACAGTAAGAGAAATCTAACAGGTCATGAGAGCGTCTCAAACCACTTCTCTTATAATGTCAGTATGCCAAATGCTGTGAGGCTTAGTATTAGTATTGTTGCTATCCTATGACATTACAAAATGAACCCCCGTTTTACTGTTTGATGTTTTTAATAATCCTTGCTGGAAAGGATTATGAAGTGCCACCATGTGGGATTTAAAAAAAATGGGGGGAAGGGGCAAATCTTCCAGTGTGCCTTTGTTTGAAAAGTTGGCCCTCGATGTGTATTTTGAACTTGGTATGAGGTCTCTGTTGTTTATATATATTCCTCTCTGAGATCTGTGCATACAAACAGTGGAATTTGCATGTACAGATCTGCAGGCAGAATTCGATACCAAAACTTTTAATTTTTACATCCTGCTAAATAGAAATGCTTACATACTTGTAAATCTGTTGTAAATGTATGTTGAAAGCATTTGTACTTATTTTCATATTTACAGTACTCACCAAAACTTTAACTATTTTTGGTGTACACACAATTCCCATGCACAACTTCTTGCAAGATAAAAACTATTCTGAACTTGGATATTTATATCTACTTGCAACTTGAGATAGAGCTTTAAAATTTATGGGAACAATTGACATGTAAGAAGACTGGTTCTTGGCAAATAAATTGAACCTATTTGTAGACTTGGAAACTTCTAACATTTTACTCACAATTACTAATTTGCAGGAGTTTCTCAGAGCCTGCACACACAACTGAACAGCTTGACACTTGATCAGAGTTTTTATTTCAGACTTGTAGAAAGAACTGGATGGCATTTGGCCTGAGATTCAATTAGATTTTGCATAATTCACACCCCAACCTCCCACTGACTTTAATAGGAGTTCCACATGCAAAACAATACTGGCGTAAACATAGATACTCAGTTTCCCTTTATAAGTAACCAGAATGAAGTTTCATTCATTTTGGACCTGAGCCAGCAGAAAATTGCCTCCACAGTTGCTTACTCACAGAACCCTCACGGGCCTTTTGGACCATGAAGCAGTGGTATCCACTGCATACTGTGCTGACAGAGTACCACCTCTTCTTTAGTAACCACAGAATGCCAACTGTGTGATTCCACCCAGCCTGATCACCCTAAATGGCAGCCATGCTCATGGAAATTATGTTGACTGGTGGAGCAAAGGACGAGAGCTCACTGAGTATGAGCAAGTCTACTAACGTATTGATACAAGGGTGGATTCTCCCCTCGGGGACTTAACATCTACGGGTGAGACCAGCCAAGGGCATGAACAAAAAAGTCCATGTACTTGAAAATTATTCTCCCTACTCAAAAAAAGTAATTAGAATAAGGAGGCCCACTATCACAATAAAAGTCCTGCCATAGCACACTGGAAATTGGAAGCATAAGTTCTGTACACCAGTGTTTTTCAAGCTGTGGTCTGTGGAGGCCTGAGGGTCTACAGACTTTGTCTAAGAGGTTCGCAAAAAGTTGTTCCCATGTAACAGTGGTTTTCAACCTGGTGTCTGCAGTCTATGTCCAGGATTTCAAAAGTGGGCCGCAACTCCATTTGAAATTTTTTAGGGGTCTGCAAATGAAAAAAGGTTGAAAATCACAGCTGTACAGAAATGTACACAATACTAAAGAATTAACAATGTTTAGCCAGGTTGATCTCAAACTGGACATGGAATTCAGTTCACATTCCCAGTTGGAGATAGCAGGACTACAAAACCTCCCATCGGGTGCACCAGCCCAAATAAAGATACAGGGCCAATAAGTGAGAGTTGGACTTCTTCAACTCCTTGGGAATCTCTAGTTGTCTGCTGCATAGTTTAAAGGATTTTTTTTTTTTTTTTGCTTTTGTAGAGAGCAAGTGCTGGCTCCATGCCTGTCTTCTTGAGCTTAATATGCAGCATACTTGTGTCCTGATCCTGTAATCAGATCTATGCAGGAACAAAGATCTCTCCACAGGAATCTGAATGCAGGATCAAGGGTTTTTGTAAACATTGGCAAACTTGAAAATATTCATTATAGGTAAAGCTGGCAGTGCTTCCTATTATTAGATCCTGTTTTCAGTTTCATGTCTTCTCTGTGTGTTATTCTTAGAACGAGAAAAAGTAAGAAGTCCTTATCAGAGGGGTAGCCCTGTTAGTCTGAATCTGTAAAAAACAACAGAGGGTCCTGTGGCACCTCTTAAAGGTCCTGTGGCACCTCTGTTGTTTTTTAAGAAGTCCTTATATTCTAAATAAAAATCAATGGGTCCACTTATTAGCTATGGGCTAAATCCTGAGAAATACTCAGCATCCACAGCTCATTGCAGGCGTTCAGAATTTCTCTGGATTTGACCCTTCAGTAAAAGTTGGCCAGAGTGATGACCAGAGAATTTGAAGAACGGTTTTGACAAACACAGGCAGAAGTTAGGCATGAGGTAAGTGTGCCTTTGGTAGCAGATTACAGGCCCACTCTGCTCCCCCTGGGGGCAGAATTTAATTCATTCCAACTACTTCTCCTCCTACTTTTGGAACTGATTTAAAGTGACAATAAGTTATTTTTAAAACGTTTTCTTTTCCCAGGGCTCATACACGGTCATATCGACCAACGTGCCCGTGTAAAACACGAGCCAGCATTTAACACGCACACAGCTCTCTCCAGCGGGCCGGCCCCACGCACACAGCCCGGGGGGCCCCGCCCCTCTGCAGCCGGCGTCCGGCTCCGGAAGAACGCGGGGCCCGCTGCGCTCGGCACCGCGGGGAGCAGGGCCCTCGCGGGGTGACAACGGCCGGGGCGGGGACTGAGCCCCCCCGTTGTGACGAACCTAAGCCTGCCCCACCCCCACTACCATCACCCCCAGCGCAAACCGCCCTAGTCTGGGGCTGTCCCAAGTCCCAGCCAGAGTCGGGGCGGGGACTGAGCTCAGCCTCCCCAGAGCGCCCCACAAAGGGGGTGGCTTAACATCCGGGTACTTGACGCACACACGCTCACCTTATCCAGTGGGAAGTTCCATCCGTCCCTTTTTTCCCCCGCCCCTCCTCCGGCGTGCGTCATAGCGTCACCGGCGACCCGCTCCGACCCGCCCCCACTGCATGGAACCCGGGGGAGAAAGACGCCGCTGGCAGCGCCAGTCCCGGGGGGAGTCGGCGCGCGCACTCTCTCCTCCTGCCAGCCCGGAACCGGACTGAATCCGGAGGGACTCGCTCTCCCCTCCCTCCCCGCGCGCGTGCCCGCCCGCCCGCTCGCTCGCGCGGCGGTTGGAGCCAGGAGCGGCCGGCAGCGGGGCCGCACAGAGCCCTGCCCGAGGCAGAGCCGCCGCGCGGACGGTGAGTGACCGGGGCCGGGAGGGGTTTTCTCCTCAGTCCGCATCTTCCCGGGCGGCGCCGCCAGGGTCAGAGGGGGGCGGGGTCTCTAGTCCGGGCCTGGGGCCGGGAGCAGCCGCTCGCTGACTAGGAAGCGGTGAAAGTTCAGGTGTTGTGGGGTGAGAGGCCGCAGCCGCGAGAAGCTCGGCGACCCATAGGAGAGTCCGGGTGGTGGGTGTTTCCCCTTCTCCCCACGATCCGGGTGAGGAATAACCCGGGCCCTGGCTGCTTGGGTGGCTGCTCGCCCCCCCTTCCCGGCTGCCCCGGAGCGGGGGCTCTCTCGCTGCACAGAGGGGTTCTCCTAGCCCGGCCCGTGCAGGCCGCCCGGGGGGGGGGGGCGGCGATCGTGTCACCCCTCCCTTGGCTACTGGGTTTTAATACCGATCTCAGCCTGCGGCTGGGTGTCTGTGGTGGTAACATGCCATTTAGGGTGGCTGGCGAACCAGCTCCACCCCTGCTCTCTAGTTCCCCACCCCTTTTCCCTTTATGGGCCACTGCCCGGGTAGGTTTCTTGCGGAGCACACAATGGCTATGTGGAGGAGAGGTTCACCGTATGGCCGCTTTCCCTCTCTGTTTAGCCTCCGCGTTGCTGTTATTGTTAATATTAATAAACATATGCATTACAGTGGCCCCGAAAGAGTAGGGTCAGGATCCTATTTCGCTAGGTGTGATCCAGATACAACAAGTCAGCTCCTGCCCCACAGCAAGCCCTCTTGCTCTTTTATTCATAGACAAGGGGAGCAAATAATTCCTAGTTATTGCTGAAAGGTTTCTCTGATCCTGTGTGTGTATTGTAAGTCACAGTTCCAACTGTCTAAGAGGGGACTTGGTCCCTGAGTTGCTTAATCCATTGAAATAAAAAAAGAGGAGGCAACTTGTTCCTATATAAAGGAGATGGTATAGCTGAACACTGGTAATACTTAGTCTTGCCATGAGTGCAGGGAACTGGACTAGATGACCTCTTGAGGTCCCTTCCAGTCCTACAATTCTATGATGATAAAGAATAACAAACCTAAATCTAGGGGGGCGGGCAGTGACTTTGCCTAAAACTTTTAGCTGTAAAAAAAAATCATGCAGTCTATTTTTGAGATGCTGTAACACCTTTGAAATTTGGTAGGGAGAAAGCTGTAGGGCTGGAGAACTGTTTTTTCTTTGTCCCCTGAAATTCCATTCAGATTTGTCTGAGAAACTTTTCAAATCCTCATTTCTCTTCTGTTGTCTGTATTATTAACACGTCAAATAAGCAGCAACAGCACATCCTGCATTGGGAGCCCAGGGAGCAGATAACCTCCCCCAGGAAGTGTGGAAAAGGAGAGGTGGGCTGGGCTGGGTTCCCTTCCCTTTCTCTGGGCCCAGAACATAGCCCAATCCCCCACATCACCCAGGATAACTACCTTCTGTCACTGCCAGGTAATATAACTAAGCCTATAACTCAACCTGTGTTGCAGATTTGAAGGTTTAGGGTTCAAACTCTGCAGATGATGTACAATAGTGGGCTTGTCATATTTGCATATACTTTTGTTTTTATTGTAAAAAAAGTCATAAGAAATTACACACACAAAACTGTTAAAAGAATATTATTTAGGTTGTGAAGTCAAACAGCTGAAAGTTAAAAAATGTCTAAATTTAGGCTGCCTGTGCAATTTTAATTCCACCTTCTTGTGTGTATGCATTATGATAGTCTTTAATTACATGATCACATACTATTTTTTTACAAGAGCATTCCTTTATTCAGTGTACAAGAATGAATCAGGCTTGTGTAAGACTTTTTGTGTGATCTCTGCCTCATTTGTTGCAGAAGAGGAAAGGTATTTAGAGAAGAAAGGAAGAGACTGCAAGAAGAAAGAGGATGGTCTCATATTCAAGGCAGGTGAATGCAACATGAAAGCACAGTTTTCTCACTGCCTCTGTTTCAAACTTCCTATGTGATGTTACACAAGTCACACAAACCAAAATTTTGGCAGGGGGCTTCTTATGTGTTTCTTATATTCTGGGTGCTCAACTTGAAAAACTTGGAGCCCGATAAGCAGAAGTGTTGAGTGCTCACACTGCAAATAAAGTGGATGCTTTGCACTCTGTCAGTAATACAGTGTGGTCTGGAGGTATGAGTATAGGGTTAGGAATCCTAATTCTCTCTGTCTGGCGTTAGGCAAATCTCTGTCTTATTTTCCCTATCTGGGGATAATGCTCTTATCTCACAGTGGAGATAAATTAATTTGTTAGTGAGGCAGTCAGTCAGATACTACAATGATGAATACCCTAGAAAAGACCATGAGGAAATTAATAATTCTGTGTTCATTGAAGGCTTTGGATGGTATGCAGGAGCCACTACTACAGGATAAAAAGAAGTATTGAACAGCTGCCTCATTCTGTGAGCATAGTCCATCCTCTCTGCACTGAATGAGGCAATGGTCCTGTTAAAAATAGTATGTGATCATGTAATCAAAGACTGTATTGTAATGCATACACATAAGAGGGCAGAATTAAGGTTGCATGGGCAACCTAAATTCTTAATTTTCTAACTTGACTTTGAAAACTAATGTCTTTAACCTTTTTTGTGTATACGCTGTAATTATGAAAGTACCTATGACTGATATATAGTATGTCTGAATATTTTTGTGTTGAAATACCTCTCAGTACCACGTGTATATAAAGAGTATGCAACAAACATTTATGGATAAGTGGCAGGAATATAATCAATAGAAAACAATTTTTTTTGTTTGCCAAAGGCAAAACAATTGTTCTAAGCACTACTATAAAATAAATCCTGTCAAATGTTTTTTTTTTAAGGCAAATATAAGGTATATTGTTGGCTAAATTTCTAATTAGTAAGCTTGCTGCTTTTTAGTACAAAATCTTAGCTGAAGTAATGGTCAGTACAAAAATATTTAACAAAAGATCTTGGTTCAAGTTGTTCATCAAATTACTGGTATCTGTTGCAACATTTAAAGAAAAAAAACTTTATGTAGGTGCTAAAATTATCTTTAGTTTTGCCAATCATACTTACAGTTAAGGTAAATTTGAGTGGCTTAGAAATATGTCTCTTATAGAGTCAGTAGTCCGTCTGTCCCCTCCCCCCCCTCCCATCCCCACCCCAAAGGTGGGTATGTTTATGTGCTGTGGAGAAGCATAACGGTTTTGAGTGACAGCTCAGTAACAAATGAGGTAGTTTTTTTAAAGTATGCTTTGTTTACCACAACCACAGTGCATTGCAATACTCAAAACACTCTGTTTTAGCTGAGTCACTATTGTCATCAGCCCTTGAGAGGGTTTTGACAAGCATGCTCGTTTGGAGCCCATGGATTATATATCTTAGTTTCATGTGTGCTGACATTTGGAAAATACTTCTGTTTTTAACTGGCAAATATAGATGAGAAATTGGTGATTCATTGTTTTGAGATAATTTGTAGAGGACAATCTTGAAGAGCCAATCTTTTTTTCTTTACACGGTCTTCTTCATTCGAATTCAATAACTATAAAACAGCTAGTATATTGACAGATATGATCATTGGGCAGTTATCAGTACACATTTGCTTTTGTGTTGCTAAAAGGTACATTCTGGCAACTATTTGAGAGAGCTTTTCAAATTTAAGCCCTTGTTTACATGTCCTTATAATATTCTGAAAGTTACTTGGGGGCTTAGATGTCTCATTGTTACTTCTAGCTCAAAAGTGGCTTTTTAAAGGTTAATGAAAAGCATTGAATTCTTTTTCCTTCCTGCTTTGTATTACTCAGTTACCTGGTAAAAAAGGCCTATGATTTCTGATGCTTTAAAACTCAAATAGAGGGGAAAATAGGGAAAAAACACGCTAGACTCCAATGAGTCTGAATGTTTTTGATTGTTTAATGAAGCATGGTTTAATGATACTGAAGTTAAGTGCCTGAAAGTAGAAGGGAGGTTAATTTTCTTAACTTTTAACACATAGGATGGACTTAAGGGGACTGATCATCCTGCTGTTTGCACATATGTATGGTGTATCCTTCTCCTCTCTGTTGTATGTCTTGTTTATTTAGATTGGAAGCTCTTTTGGGACAGAGACTGTCTTAGTGCATTGAAAAATGGGGGCCCAGTTGGGGTCTCTAGGTGCTACAATAGTACAAAATAATGATCAGATCTCCCCATATATGCATGCATATGTGTAAAATTAAACAATGCATTGAACCTGCACTTCAATGCTTGATCACTAGATACAGGATTTCATCTGTTCAGTTTGCATTTAAATATGCTTGTTAATTCCAATATGGGCACCTACAAATACATGTGTAGAAACCACAGAAACAAAGTTTCAACAAGATGTTATGATTGACATCTATATTAGGCAAAGGTCACAAATTTAGATGTTTTTCCAGCGAAATTGCCACAACATGCATGAATTAAAGTATTAAACTTAACACCCTCTGCAGAAATAATGTATATCATATATGCAAGAGGGTGTGTGTAGTTGTGGTTTTGGTTGTGCAGCTAAAAATGTCAACCATCATGCATTAATGTAGATCTTTGCATTTATAAGTATAAACACAGGTGCATAATTATTCTTATGCTTGTGCACTGTCTCATTACTTCTCTAGGTCAGACTGCTTCCCTCTCATCCTTGTTTCTTAACCTCTGATTTAGCGTGACAGAACTTTTATGAGAGAGGGTACCATCTGAAAGGATACGTTTTCCCCCTTCATTTTTACCATCCCTGTGCTCCATATCCCCTAGCAGTCACAAGCAGTGCGTGGCTACCTGCATATACAGGGCAAAGATAGGGCA